AAGGTCAACAGCCCCGGCCGGCTGGCTATCACATTCAGCTTTCCACCCAGTTGCACAGATGTAGACAAACAGCAGACATGGAAAGAAAAATGCCCACAACAATATTCACTCCATGTCAGACCAGCATTTAGCTTGTTTCTAGAAAGACGTTGTTTAAAGTTGAATCCATTTTCTGTTCACTTGCTGGGATGCGTCGTTCCTTTTTCTTGTAATGATACCACAGCTGAATAGTCCACTCATAATTCACTCATAGCTTAATTCTTTACCAGTCAGATCAAACTTGTCACGGTTCTGGGTCAGTTTCTACCCAGTATTTTGAGTTTATTATGTTTTGGTTTAATTTTGCATCAGGGATTGTTTTCTTGTTCTCTTGATGTGTTAATGATGATGATGATGATGATTATGATGTTTATTATTAGAGTTTCATGTTTCTGTTTATTTGTGTTTAGGATTTGTTCTTCGGTTGTGTCTGCTTACTATATGTCTAGTTCCATGTGTCATTTTCTGTCTGTCTCTCAATGTCGAGTCTGCGTCTTAGTGTGATGGTTTCTTGTTCCTGTTTTATTGTGAAGGTCTGCGTCTCATGTGAGTGTGTTCAGTTTTACCTCTCGTCTCGTTTAATGACTCCCAGCTGTGTCCCCCACCTGTGTGTAATCTCCCTGTGGTTCTCTGAGTGTATTTAAGTCGTGTCTTCTGTGTTTGTAGTTGCTGGTCCGTCTGTGTATCCACCCTGCTTCATCTGTGTGTTTCCCTGCTTCATCTGTGTGTTTCCCTGCTGTCACCATCTTGTACCGTCGTCCACCTTGCTTCATGTTTGAGTTCCGGTTCGTATTCAGTAGTTTAGTTGTCTCCAGTATAGTTGAGTGTGATCTCTATTTCCGTTTTTCCACTGGTGCGTTGTGTTCAATAAACCACCTTCACTCCTCCACTACTGCCTGCGATTGGATCCTCCTTTATTATTTTCACACGGCTCATCTCACTCGCCGTGACAAACCTGGCTGGTGAGTCTGACTGAAGAAATAACCATTACCCAGAATAAACTGTTTATTTAGTGTCCTTATTAAATTTGGCAGTGTAGTGTGTCATTTATTCTTCCCCTTTGCCTCATTTATAGGTCAGTAATAAAACATGTAATGAAACTCAGTGGTTTCAGACCTAGGTTAGACCGTTTTCAAGGAAGATATGTTGACCATAAACTGTACATTAAAGTGGATAACACATCACCACCTGCTCCCTCTGCACAGAAGTGAAGCCTTAGGTTCTGGTTGAATAGTCTCCTCTGCTTAGAAAGGCTCCTAACTGAGTGAAATGACCCAGAAGTATCTAAGTGGCAGCCTTGACAAGAGGTTGTCGAATTTTCTAAATGCTAAAGAAGGGTTTCCGGTGCTTCCTTCCTTATCTCTTTTACCACGGGAAACACCATCTTTTGTCAAAGGACAGGTGATAATGCTATCCCACAGTTCCCTCAGGTAGCAGCCTTTCAAAGTTTCATATTATGCAGTTGTCAAGAACACCACCATTGCATACGCAGTGTAAGGGGACTTGGAACATCTCAGCATTGTGAATATCTAATGAATTCACCCTCACCTAAACCTCGTGACATTTTTCATCAGCATCAAGAAAAACAGTTTAGCTAAAGACTCAGAATGCAATTTTAAATTTACAATCAGCGTCTGCACAAAAGTAAAAAGTAAAACTGGTGGAGCCCCTGCCTGCTGTTGCAATAATAATAAAATAGCTGGATTTACAAAGTAAAGGTAGCCCCTTTACTCAGCTGTTGCACAGTTTAATTAGTAAATCTGTCTGAGCTCATTTACATCTGGTTGCACCATTTCTTCGCATTGCTCACTGTACTGACATACACTGGAAACCAAATAGAGCTATTATTAATGATGCACACCTAATCTTTTCCTGCCTGTCAGCCTGCTGATCAAAACGTGCTGGACTTGCAGAGTGGGGCTACATGTAGCTTTAAAACCGACAGGAATCCAACAGGAGAGAGTGACAGATTTCTCTTGGGCCTAATTACAGTAATCCTGACTTAACGTTTTACTTTGTTGTTTCATTTAAAATTACTATCCATGGATCCGTTTTACGATGTTGGAACAGAAGGTTTTAATTCAGCCAAATTGGCTACAATCTAAACCCAAAGAAATGACCTAGTTAAACAATGTTATGTTCTGCTTTAATCACCAGTTTTGCTTCACCCATTGTTTCTCGAGCAATTAACAGCCTCTCGGAGGAAACCTGTGGAAGACTCTTAAAACATGATGAGTGAAAGCTGCCACCAGTTATTTCAGTAATTATTGAAGGTCATGTTAAGGCCACACGAGTAATTAGTTTGGGTTATGGTTAAACTAGAGAAGCAGAGCACCTAAGTTGAAGGTGGGAATAAGAGGATGGAGTCTGCGTGTAGAAAATAATAGGATTTATTGTGGTGAGAGTCCCAAAGAGATTCCAGCATAAGCATTTGGAGACTTTTATCAGAAAAAGACACCATTCCTACTTATTTACTTAGTAGGAGAAAAAAACACTTTCAAAATCCTGTTTGCTCTTGAGGCACAGGTGCTTGATATTTGTCATGCGTCTAAAAAATGTGCCCAGTTTAGAGAAGCCTCATAAACAGACTAGAAAATCTTTCTAGGGAGTGGTTAAGGCAGAGATAGTAATAGTAACATTTCTTTAAAGTGGCTTAATAGACATGGAACTTGACAGAGTTTTGTTAGTGTCATTGGGAAGGGGGTTGGGAAGCGTATCTGTAACCGGAAGGTCGCCGGTTCGATCCCCGGGCTCTCTGTCCTGGTCGTTGTGTCCTTGGGCAAGGCACTTTACCCTACCGCCTACTGGTGTTGGCCAGAGGGGCCGATGGCGCAATATGGCAGCCTC